CGAGAATTGAAAGATACGCAATCCAAAACCAAAATGGAGTTACATCAACGCTCAAAGCATTAACATTGCCTGATCCAGGTGCTACGGGGCCTAGTTCAACAGGTCAACAGCCTCATTCAGTGCACTTTTACTTCTTTTTCTTTTTCTTTTTCTTCTCCTTTTTCTTGTCCTTCCTCTTTTCACTCCTGCTTTTCTTCTTCTTCTTGGTCTTCTTCTTCTTGTCACGTTTTTTCTCATCCTCCTCCTCCTCCTCCTCCTCGTCGTCGTCGTCTTTCTTCTGCTTCTTTTTCTTCTTCTTCTTCTTCTCCTCCTCCTCCCCCTTCTTCTTATTCTTTTTCTTCTTCTCCTCCTTTTCCTCCTTCTTATTCTTATTCTTTTTTTTCTTCTCCTCCTGCTCCTCCTTCTTCTTCTTCTTCTTCTCCTCCTCCTCCTTGTCCTTCTTTTTCTTTTTCTTCTCTTCTTCTTCTTCTTCTTCCTCCTCCTCTTCACTATCGAATTCCTCTTTCCCTTCCTTGCATTGCTGCATGCACTCAAAGTATGACGGACATGTCTTCCTCACTAACTCAAGGATACTCTCAAATATTACCTCCTCCTTTTTATTGTCACCCTTTTTCATTTTTAACTCTTTCTTCATCTTCTTGTCCTTCTTCTCCTTGCCTCCACTACCACCATCTTGTTCCCTTTTGCATTTTTCTGCACACTCAACATACGATGGACACACTGCTCGCACTATCTTGAGAATGTCCTCAAATAACTCCGCCTCCGCCTCCTCCTCCACTTTTCCATCGTTTGCTTTACTCTGCTTCTTCTTTTTCTTTTTCTTCTTGTCCTTCTCTTCTGCCACCTTCTTCTACTTTACAAATCTCAAACCAATAAAGTTGTCATTCCAACTACCAAATGCCTCGCTTTTATGCTCTTCCATTCAATGCCATGTGACAATTTTCAACTGCATCTCCTTGTGCTCTTGTCATGTGCCATCCTCAGGTGATTGATTTGACTACACGCTTTTTTATTCCTTCCTACCATTCAACTGTCTCGTCTCACCCTCCAGTCAAGACACTGCACCTCTTCTCCCCACTTCAGTGTCCATCAGACACCACTTCACCTCCTTCCCTCCTCTCACCCTCTCACCCTCTCGCCCCATTCCCCCCTACCCCATTCGCCACCCCCTCCCCCCCACCACCACCTGCCTCCTAATTGCATTTCCCACTTAACTGCACTGCTTTCTCAACCACCTACCCAACTTTCCTCAACCTCGAGCAAAGCGAGTTGAAGTAGTTGGAAGACATGCAGTGCACGCACATATGCCAGAAGGTGTGTGGTCAACTCACTTGTGTTGGATGCATGGAAGAGTGGAGGGGGCTGAGGAGGGGCAAGGGGGTGAGTGGATGGACAC